GAGAGAAGCCCATTGAAACGAGTTTCCTTTCATTTCTAGAATGAAATTACAGAAAAAAAAAAAAACAAAACTGGTATCCAGAATACGTGACTAACTCCCAGAAGTCTATGAATTTTTTTTAACAGTGGGAGAGTGAACAATATGTATGCCTATGCATTGCAAAGAAATCTGAATGTTAAGACACGGAAAAAATGGTCAACATTATTAGCAGTCAGTCATTAAACACAGTCAGTAACTGCACATTAAAACTACAAGGAGGTACAATTTCACATCCTAAAGGCTGGCAAAAATAACATACATTATTAAGTGTTGACAATGATATAGGAAAAAAAAAAGGAGCTCCTTATAGATGGCTGGGTGGGAGGATAAAAACCTTTTTAATAGGGTTTTTCAACAGGCAAAACCCTTTTTGGTAATTTGGCATCATCTTCTAAATGGGATGGTACAAATCCACTCTCTGGCAATTTTCCTAAGAAGATACCCTAAGAAAAGGCTCCTGTGTTAGCACAGGGAGATGTGTGTATGATCCTGCATAGTGGCCTTGTTGGAAAATATCCAAAATGTCCATCAACAGAAGACTGATATGTTATTCACTATTTTTTACACAATGAAACACCACAGGGTGGTAAAAAAAAAAAATGAGTAAGTAATACCTACTTCCAAGGTGGCCATAGTAGTCAAGAATCCAACTGCCCATGCAGGAGACACAAGAGACATGGGTTAGATCCCTGGGTCAAGAAGATCCCCTGGAGGAGGGCATGGCAATCCACTCCAGTATTCTTGCCTGGGAAATCCCATGGACAGAGGAGGCCGGTGGTCTACCACCCATAGGGTTGCAAAGAGTTGGCATTGACTGAAGCAACTTAGCATGCAGCTATGCACACATATCAACAAAATACTAATCAATTAAAGTTGAGTAAAGACCACAAAGCCACAAAGAGCATGGTGTTTCTTTGCAGACAGAGTTATAAAACAGCAAAACAAGACTGTACGTGTAGGTACACACATACCTAGCAAAGCATGAGGAAATGCGTGGCAATGATAAACACAGAATTCAGTGTACAGGGTACCAGTGAGGGGAGACAGGCTTGGAGAGACTCTGAGAGTATCAGCAGTGTCCGCAGTGATTGGGGATATCAGTCTTTATAGTAATATTTAATTTTCTGTTGTTGCTGAAATATTTCACAATAATTGTCAACTAATAATAAAGAACTGAACAGTAGTTTGAGGCACAGGTATAAAGAAGAGAGTCAAATATCACTTGAAAACTTTCCAATTTTTCACGCCTTCTTTTGTTCCTTTCTGACTTCCCTAGACCTGGGGCTTGTCATTTATGCCTGAATTAACACAACAGCCCCCTAACACATCCCTCTGTCCCAATCTGATGGCAAACTGATCTATTTCCATCCATCCCAGAGGCCACTTCTTCATGTCACTGTCTATACAGAATCCTTCAGTGCTCCTATCAACTCTAAACATTCCTGTATAGTCAGTAACACCCTACAGAGTGCATCTCTATTCTTTTCAATCAAATTCACCTGCAGGTCTCAGTAAAAGACACTAGAGAAGCTGGCGTAGCAGACCATCTCCCTGAGCCAGGGATCTGCCAAGCTGGCTTGCATCTCCACGTCTTTGTCACAGTTTTGCCTCATCCCTTCCTCCTACTTAACTCCTACCATCTAGGAACGTCCAGCTTAAGACTTTCCTCTTTAGGAAACATTCTAAAACAATCCTACTCCTTTAGGTTCGATTTTTAGCTGCCCAAGGATTTGAACTAAATTTTGCACTTTGACAGTCTCCACCCTCATGAATACATGGAAGATCATAGAATTTCATTTGCTTGTTTGCCTGTTCTTAGAAAGGCTACATCCTACATCTGCCATCAAGAATATTTTAAATTATCGATCAAGTAAATGCAAATCTAGAAAAATGATGATGCATATTATAAAACCATGGGTCATGTCCCTACTGAGTCTTACATGTCTTCACAGATCTTTAAGGCTGAACAGTGGTGTAACATCTAAAGCAGGGTACCAAGAGCAGGTTAGCATATCTGTAATGTTGGTCCACACCCTCCATCATTCCAATACCTTAAAGTGTAGATCAAATATACTACATGCCTGGCCAGAAACTAGTATAAGTCATGAAAATACCGAGAAGGCTGTGAACCCAATTACTAAGTTCCAAGGTGCTGGGCCAGGCATCAGTGATATTTCATGAATGAGCAATTCTTGTCTTGGCTCTCATGAAATACACAGCTCAGTGAGGAAGATAGTCGATCAGACAATCACAAAAGACAAGGCATCAATATTTACAATAAAAGGACCATGATAAAAAGTATCAAGCACTGAAATTGCCTGCAACTGGAGGGCTTCATTGAGTCAATGACTTCTCAGCTGAAGTCTAGAGAAAGGAGATAATAAGAAGAAACACATTCCTGGGAGTTCACACAGAACACTTCTAAATGCATCAGTGCTTCAAGGTTCCGCTACAGCGGCTTCCCAGCTCCAAATGGGAAAGCTCATCCTAGTCTGGAACACTGAAAAGGTGACTTGGCTTCTGCCTCAACATCTGCGAAAAGAGCTTCAAGCAGAGTAACTGTGCCCTGCCTTCGTGCTAGAGTAGTCTGATGAATCATATCAAAGAAGAGCTGTTTGTAAAGTCTGAGACAAGATCAAAATGCCATTTTCCCCTCCAATGGCAGCATGTGTTTTGCAAGGAAATCTCTGCGATATCTACCAGGGAAATTTCTAGTCCAGAAATAGACATCACACTGAGTTTCCACTGAAATTGAAACCCAAAAAGCAAGGATGCCCAAGGCAGGGGTTGTAATCTGCAGGTTACAGTGAGGGTTAATGCCAGTCCTCCTATCAGATATGCATAAACATTCTCCAGTAGTAGAATTAAAAGGGAAGTTACTCTAGCAGATGTTTTCAAATTAGCCAAAACCGTGTCAGGGAGTAAAATGAAGCGGCAGAGCTGGAAATGTGCCTGGAGAGGGAGAGACCTTCCCACAAGCTGCCTGATGGAGCCGCTGAAATACCCCGAGCTCTCCCGGCGCAGATGGGGGTGCGGGAGCGGAGAGATAGGTCCCAGCACGGATCCTTCTCTCCTAGTTGCTCATCCACGGCTCCAACGAGACCACTGCTCTGCTGAGTGCTAGGATATCCACTCAGGATCGCGCAGCTCATACACTGCCAAACCACACTCTTCACACTTGCTTTTTAGGCTGCTGCCTACAAATTCGACAAGAAACGTTGGGAGAAGATACAGAAATTGTCCATGATGACAGAGGAGCAAACTATGATATGTGAATGTGAAAATGAACAGCTCAGTCTCAGGCAAATCCCAGGAGAAGGGATGGTGTGCATCTTCACAGGAGATCCAGGGCAGCGACACCTAGTTCACAGAAACCCCAAACAGGACAATGATGATCCCACTACACAGTGCTCACCTACCCAAGAGGGAAAAAGGCCCAAGAATCTGAGCCAAAAATCTGTGGCTACATAATCCAGAGGGCTTGCTGCTTCCTGGGTGCGAGCTGGGCCCCCACGTGGGCTGTCACTCGTTACCCAGTAATCACTACCTCCCACAGAAGGAGAAAACAATAAACACCATCCAGGAAAAACCTTAGGTCAACAGAAGCAGAGAATATCTCCAGCTTTTCACTGGTACACCAGCTGTCTGGCCCTACCACAGTCCAGAGTGAAAGATGTAACATTTCTGGGTCAGCGTATTTCATATGCAACACCAATCTCTGCACAATCACAGAGGGGAAGAAAAGTCCTCAAAGAAAAGCCACTTCCATGTTTAACCACCTTATAACCAAAATCCATTTTTTTCTGTCCTCCACCACATGTTTTCTTTTTCAGGGTTACCAAAAGAAAAAAAGAACTAGCCAATTATATAGGGCAGGAGGAGAAAGGGGCAACAGAGGACAAGATGGCTGGGTGGCATCACCAACTCAATGTGACATGAATTTGAGCAAACTCCGGGAGGTAGTAAAGGACAGGGAAACCTGGTCTGCTGCAGTCCATGGGGTCGCCAAGAGTTGGACATACATATATATATCAGGGCTTCCCAGGTGGTGCAGTGGTGAAGAGTCTGCCTGCCAATGCAGGAGACACAAGAGACACGGGTTTGATCCCTGGATTAGGAAGATCTCCTGGAGAAGGGAGTGGCAACCCACTCCAGTATTCTTGCCTGGAGCATTCCATGAAAAGAAGAGCCTGGCAGGCTATGGTCCATAGGGTCACAAAGAGTTGGACACGACTGAAGCAACTGACTGTACACACACACACACACACACACACACACACACACATACATATGCTGTATGCATCAATGGTATATTATATATAGCAAATATGCATTTTGCCTAAGCCAAAGAGGTATGTGTTAGAAGAAAAGGAACTGGCAGCTGGTATCTCAAACAATGAGTTATCAGTGGGTGTTTAATAAAGAGGAAGACTGACAGTTCTAAATCCTCCCCTGTGCTAGAAGAACAGTTTAGACCTTCCTAGAAACCCCATCTTTGACAATTCCGGAGAGACCACACAGTGAAAGTCACCTTCATTGGGCAGTAACAGGAAGCAGGCTACACATGCCCTGTGATTAAAAAAAAAAAAAAAGGAAGAGGGTCAAAGAAGACATTATTCCTTTCTTTGAAAATGAAGAATTACAAGCCCCAAGAATCTTCTGGAAATAAGAGACAACACAAAACATGATGGGGTGCTTTTGAACCTCCAAGTATATCAGCAACACAAAATTTTTAGAATTCTAGAAAATGGTCTTCTTGTGATTGTGTTTCTATAAGATAAAAATGTACAAAGAAAACAGCATCTCAGAGACATAAGGCATAGACTGTAAGTGTGGGAGTCAAGGATTGGAGACAAGGGTTTTGATTTTTCCAAAGTCCTTTAATGATGCTCCTTTAACTGGGTAAAGGAGAAAAAGAAACAAAAGAACTTACAACTACCATCATTTCCTTAAATTAACCCAGGAGAGGCAAGCGTGGTTTCTATAGAGATGAAATCTTCATGACACTCTTCCAATGGAATGCCTCCTAAAAAGAGACAGATTCTTCTGCATGGAGCAGAGTTGCTCTGATTAAAGGTAGAACAATTTGTGGGAATGATCCAGAAGACACCATCATGTGAACTTGACTCCGTCATAGAAAACTCACTATGAAAACACACATTTAGATGGCATTTTATTATTCTTTCTGAATCTGAAATAGTACATGAAATCAAAGTCAGAACATTGAACCCTGTTTTCAGAATTTGCTATTCAAAGAATATGTCACTTGTCTCAATTGAGTTGTAGCAGGAACTATTACTAGGCTACAAATCTCTAAAGGAGTACTTAGAAAAACTCCATTTCCCTTCTTCACAATTTTGAATTTATACTTAAAAATTAATCAATCTAGATGGCTATGTGGAACAAAGGCATATATACCTAACAGAATTACATCAAAGAGCATGCAATTTGTATTTCCGAATCTGATTCAATAAAATACTTAAGCTTAGACAGATTTAGAAAGTAGAACAACTTACAGTTCAGTCTATGTCTCTGTATGGGCCACATGATATTTTGAGAAGGTGGTCTTGAATTCAATAATCACTCATATCAAGGTTTTAGTCCTGGCGGAACAAAGTTTATACTGAAGGAAATATTACAGATGCTAAACCAAGAAAATTCCCCACAAGGAATACTCAAGTATTATTCCCCTCAAAGCACAATTGCTAGTGTGTAATTTGAAGAGTTGTCAGAAAATGACTCCATAATTTTTTAAAGAATCTGTTTACCAGTTCATTTTGCCAGTATTTATATCATCTATAATTTCTGAGACCAAATATTTTATTTGGCAAACTAGCCTTAGATAGAAATATACAGGGAAACAGACAGATGTAATTTTCGAAATAGCCTGTATTTGAAGGCACTCAAGTCTCTTCTCATATAAAGTAGCTAATAGTTTCTCTTAAGTGAGTCATTTAACAGTCATGGAATTTTAGATCTAGAACTAGGAATATTTCAAGGCAGTGACTTTACAGTAGCAACTTTAAACTGAACTAATACATCCAAGGAAATTATTAACAAGGCCATTGATACTAGACTTGTATGAATTTTCCTGTTTCATGCCGGAATATGCATTTTCTGAACCAAGGGTAGCTTTTGTCAACTAATCGTTTAAACTTCATATGTTTTGCAAGATATTCGATATTTCTTTACGACTTTGGGTTTCCTTTTTTCAAAGGTAAGCAAAACTTTATCCTTTGACATTAGATAAATCAGGATACTTGTAACATCTCTTGCCTTCCTGTCATTTCCGTTCAAGTTGGGATAAAGATTGCCGCTATACATGCAAAATTACATAGGCCAATAGAAAGTTGCTCCTTGAAGCCGAAATTCGGCTATAAATAACAGACAAAAGGCAGTTAGCTCCTTCCTGTTTTTTTTTGTTTTGTTTTGTTTTTTTTAAAGATAACAATTTGCAAAATGTTTGCATTTGGTCCTAACATTGCTTTCCTGGCTCTGAACATTCCTCATCCCAGGGTCTGACTACAAACCAGACTGATCCATCATCACTTTACAAAGCCATCTGCGAAGACTATAAAAGCTAAAGCTCTGTCTTCAATTGTTACTTTTATTATACACCTTTCATCACTGTAATTCCATAACTTCACGCGTTATGCTGGGGGAGGGGGGCGGGGGGGGGAGACAGAGAACAGCGATCTCTCAAGAACAGAACCAGCTCACCGTGTCAGGAGGGGACAGTCTCGCCAGAGTCCAGAAAGGAGATAACCTCTCACTCTCGGTGGCGAGGGGCGGGGGTGGGTG